TTACCTACTCCAATTGCCTCTATATGATTTTTATTATTAGCAACGGCTATTTTTGTTGGTGTTTTTAACATTAGTAAATCCGAAAAATAACTCTTATTCTCAACTAAATGATCGGTGCAACCTGAATCAACATAAAATACTAACTTATTGGTATCAATATTTTCCTTTTCCATGGTATCAGTCATAAAGCGTATACCTGACTGCTCGTCGCTTCCATGTTGTGTATGCTTTGCTGAAGTTTCTCCACGATTATCTCTCTTATCTTCTTGATTGTTTCTGCCTCCTTCGGACCCATTTCTATATCCTCTTCGACCTTGTCCTTTAAAACTGCCACGTCCTCTATTCCATCCATTACTAAACCACCTCGTACCTCGGACTTTTGGTATCGTGCTCCTTGCAATGTTGGACAATCTCTTTTATAACAGCTGATTTCTCATTTTCAACTTTTCTTTCCATGTTTCCATATTTTATTTTTCTCTTCTCCACTTCTGCTCTTAATTCTCGTATTGCCATACCCAATTTTAATTCACTTCCTGGCGTATTTTCCACAATGGTCATTGCTAATAGGAAAGCATACTCCTGGTAAGGAGTATTATTAAGAAAATTATTTAATAAGGCTATTATAATAAACAAATGAAGGTTTATTGTTGCTACGTTAGCATTAAGTGTAGTATAAGTATAGTGTAACTGATTGTAATAAAAGAAGTTAAAATGACGAGAAGACGATACAATACTGTAACACGTCATACTCTGTAGTAATTGCAAGCGTTAATTACTCAAGGTGATCGTTACTACCAAATCTTTCCAAAAACCCATTATGTTATTACAATTTAAGAATAACCGCTTGATGTGTTGGTGATTGAAAAGGAAGTGAAGCTTTAAAAACTAATGGATGACTTCAAATTGCAGGAAGATTAAAAAAAACATGGGTTAAAATATCCTCTTCTTCTGTCAAGGAATACCATTGTCATCTTGTTGTACAATTGAAGGGCTTAGTGAAACAATGACAAGGCACAAATATAAAATTATTGGAAAATCGACTTTGAAATTTGTACAAAATCTGTAAAATTAATGTTTCCGTCTTTTTACCTTTTGGGTTGTTTACATTAGTAACACAACTGTATATATCTATCCAGGATACTGAAATAATAAAAAAATATATAGAAAACTATAATAAATATATAAATAGAATTTTATTAGAAAAATTGTGACTTGTAACACTTTTGCACTAACAAACGACAACATTTTCAATTAAAAACTAAATAAGTCAATAACTCAAAAAAGAAAATAAATATAAAGAAATAATGTTTAAACTAAGAAAATGGCTCTGCTTCATTAATAATTTCAGGTTCCTCTGTTTCTTTAGCACTTTCAGTTATTTTCGGCTGTAAATTTTGGAAAAAACCATGATTCACAGCCGGTATGTAAGGTAGCAATGTCTTTACATTGTCGTATTTTTTTTTTGAAATTTTAATTGGTTCAAGATACTTTCTATCTAACTGATCAAGTGTAGTGTATACTGGTCTTCCTCGTTTTGAGATAGACACCTGGTCGTACTCACCATGAACGGAATGTTTGACGTAAAAAACTTTAGTATTTTTATTACTAAATCGAAATGAAAACGCATTAGCAAAGTCTAAGTTATGGCCAGTATTGGTGCGCGAACTCTTTTTTATGTTTGTAAGAGTAGGTGTAAAGTTTAAAAAATCTTCCTGCGTCATAACTGTGACTGCAAAAGGTGTTTTTTTGTTTGATCGCCGTATAATATCGTACCATTCATTTGGACAAAAAACTTGTGGTGCATACCTTCGGTGTCGCTTTTCTATAAGTGCGAAGTCCCTATCAGAAGGAAGATGAGTATGACCACTTACGAGAAAATGGTGCGTTATTGTTTTAAATTTATTCTCCTTTACCAGTTGTAACCATAAACTCATCATTAGCCAATTTTTATTTTGCCCTGGGCAATTATCTGTAAATATAATTAGGTGGTCAATTTCGGTCTTCGTCATAAGAAATTTTAGGAGGATTGAAGCGACTTCATCACTTCCTCTTTTTGCTATATCTTCCGTCCAGAGAAACATGTGCCCTTTGCCATTTGTACAATCATGAATGCCTAAGTTGTATAACCAGATTTTTCTGCAATAAAACGCTGGACCCGTTGTTAATTTCGGGATTGGTAATGCCTGTTGTAAGTCAAATGAAATTACCAACGTTCTATTGGTGTTTTTTGATTCTTGAGTCGTGTTATTTAACAAATCCTGCATTGCTTTCGCTTTAGTTTTATGTGTCGTCAGGTCAATGTTTAGCCGAGACAATTCCTGATTTTCATTTAATTTTGTTGCAGAGTCTATTCTGATGTTAAGTTGATCACAAGTTTTGCAAGTGTCGGATTTGGGTAATTTAAAGCCAATATTGTATTCTGTACAAAATATCTGCCTATATGTGTGCTCCAGAACAGGTTTGATATGTTGTTGTTGACACCACGGAACATAATACTCAGAATAAAGACGCGATATGGTCATATCACAGTTAAGGTATACTTTCCCTAGATTTTCAGCCCTGCTATAGTGACTTTGGTATTTAGGTATTAAATCTATATGCTGTCTAACACTCTGCTTTTGCTGGTCACTAATTTGATTGGGTCTGTTCGAATGTCGGCCACGTTTATCTTTTTCTGGTACAGGAGTTCCTCTTATTTTCTTTGAAACGATGTTGTTCAGTCTACCCTTTGATTTTTGCAGACCGTGAACATTCAGAAACTCGGTTTTACACACGTTTACTGTTTGGCCATTAGCATTGACAGAATAAATCGCATTGGAAGTTCTACTTGATTCTTGTCGTTTTTGCCTTGTTTTGTAAGATCTCTTTTTCTTTGCTATAGCAATGCATCCAAAGAGATACCCATTCTGCAATTCCCATGATCCCAAATTCCAAAATTCATTGAAAATACGGTTTTCATTACCATCTAGTTTCTCTCTACATCTTTTTTTACACTCACAAGGAGGTCCTAACTCCCGAGCTGCAACAGTCTTTTTGGTTTTGTCACTAGTATACTGCTGTCCCAGATTTCTTCTTATTTTTCTTTTTGATCGTGGATATGTGTCTTCTTTTCGGTGTTTCCATCTACTTCTAGGGGCAGGTTCAGGTGTATCAGCCCTAATCCGTTTTAATGTTCTGCTCCCTGTTTCCCCATCTGATTCTTTTATACCATCGTTCTATATTGAAAAAGCAATACTAAACTAGCCACCCAATGACAACCCAATTTGCTTGCATAGAATTAACAATGGCAATATAATAACATGCCACGTAAATGAAAAAAGTCATTTACCTGGTGATTTGTATCTACCTTTTCTGCATAACTAGGTACATAATCTCTATCAATATCACTATCATCGACTGGAGAATCTACATCACTCATTTCACTGTTCATTATATTAAAATTTTTCGATTCACATGCACTTAAGTCACGACTCGTTACAATTTTTGTGTGACTTGTCATTGTTTATTTTCACAAAACAAATGCGTATGTAGCAACGCAAGATCATTACTACGAATTTGTGGTGCTATGCTTTGGAATATTTTCAAACTATTTATTCCGTGACTTATTATACTTTTGTAGAACTCGAAAATAAGCAAAAGTCATATTTGAAAAAATGTGACTTGTCATTGTTTCACACTAAGCCCTTCAATTCATAGATGTGACTTATTACTTCCTTAGAACCATTTTTTCACATAAGACTTGATTCTGAGCGTTTTATTTTTGTTTGCTTCCTGGATGTAGTGGTAAGATCTGTAAATTCTACGTAATATTGTTAGCCTGACTAACTATGTCAGTTATTCATTTCTAGCAACTTCATGGTATTGTGGATTTAATCAACAAATTTGAACGTCTAGAACAAGTTATTTATATCAAATCTTCAAATCATACTCGATCAGTAACCCTGATTTGTCCATTCTAAGCCGTCATATGAATTGACCATATCTCAAACCAGTTTGCACTCTATTTTGCACAAAGATAAATAAACAATCTAGAACATCTTTAAGATGTTTTTCCTTCGCTACAGTTAGTCGATAAACCATCTTGTGGGAAGATATTCTGATTTTTTACAGCGTGATTTTAATCTTGATAGCAATCAACGCATAATAATTGATATTTTCTTTCCCGTTGATCGCCGAAATGCTACTTATTTTTAAAAAGACCGGGTAGTCTGTAATTTAAGATAAACAGTTTGATAAAAATACGCTGGGTATTAATTGTATTTGTTCCGTAATGTTAATGAGTTGTCATCTAAAAAATTTCAGTGATTTTCTTCATTTAATGTTCCATCAGCAAAGTATGGACCGATTATACTACATCAAACCTTAACAGACAGAAGGTCGTTGCGTGTTATCCCTATCCCTATGTCCATAATTCGTGAAAATAGACTGATTCGAGATTACCATAATAAAATTATGTAAATATGATGAAGTAATAAAATAATTGTTGTAGGTAGTATGAATTAGTTATTCAAACAGGAAAATTTCACTTAATTAAATAGATTTACTTATGAAATAGATATCTAGTGTTTAATACAAATATTTGATTAATTTATGTTAATCTTAAACAAATATAATATGGTTTTGAAAAGTATAAATTAAATGAAAAGGAAAAAAATCAAAAAAATTTAACACACTACCTTTGAAACTATAAGAAGTAGAGAGTATCTTTATGAAAAGCAAATAGTGTATTTAAAATTTAGGATAGGCGCCTAATTTGAGTTAAATATATATTCTACATGTCTGTCACGTTATCTTATGTTTATGCTATTCACGATCAAGTATATATAGTCAGTGAGGATGTGTTCATAACATTTTGATATTACTACAAAATAACGTGACATACATGTTGAACTGAGGTGCATGTCTGTCTAAAAATTAGGCGCTGTGGGAAATACCCCAAACTTAAACCAATTGATTCTAAAATTCAAAAAACTTTAATTTCTTTAATTTATCATTTTTAGCTTAATACATAAAAGTTCACCGCCGGAAGCCAACATAAAATGCAACGTAAACGGTATTCGCATACCGCAAAATCACGATCACAAAACGGAAGCCCGTTTAAGAAGCGATCCAAAAGTTCTTGTTTTCGTTGAAACGATTTACTCTAAAGTTGGCAGGGAAATTGCAGAATTATTGGTTTACAACCGAATAAAGTAAGTTAAAAACGAAAAGAAAATAATAACTTATTTTTATTTGCATTGTATATAAAAGGTATAAGCAAGAGGTTTTCGGCAAAAGTCTTCCGGTTTTAACAAATCTGGACAAGGGGCGTTATGGCGTCATCGTATTTGAAAATTTCAATGCATATCTTAAAATGGACAAATGGAATCGTGACCTTTTGGACAAATACTGTCGGGAATATAGCGTCGCTATCATCGGATTTATAAATACCAGTGAAGAAACGTTAGTTAGCGCTGAATTGAAGGGCTTTCCGCTCTTTGTCAATACAAGTTTAAAATTACAGGTAAGAGTAAAAATTTGTCTTAAATTTAAATTTCATTTTCTATCTGTCAACATAATCGACCATTTTTTAACTTTATTATTATTTTATAACTAATCGTTCGGCAACTTTGAAAAGTACAATCTAAAGTTAAACTAAAACTAGAACTAACACTAGCACTATCAGAAGAACTACAATCTTTCGGTTTAAGCCGTGCGTTTTTTGAAAAAATGTTTGACGTTTCGGATGCCATGTTGCAACCTTCTTCAGAAACAAGTTCGAAGTGACGAATTCGTTTTAAAATTTGACAATAAATACATGAAGAGGTAATTAATAACTAATTAGTGTCTAATTGTCAACTAAGTTGTTTTGTCAAATCTGGGTGGAGAAGGCTTCGTTGAGTTCACCAACATCTCCCATGTGCGGCTGAGTTCCCAGCCATCTTCTCTATTCATGTTATTCCCATGTCGATGAATCTCTATCGCTATTCTTCTTCAGACGCCTCGCAATTCGCTCCGTCACACCTGAAATATAAGGAAGGCAGATAAAACCGGCTGGTGTCGTACTTACCGAGTCATCCTTCTGTTTGTGTGGTTTGGTGGATCGTCGGATATCTCTCATCGTGTAGCCGTTCTTCTGCAGCACATCTTCTAGGAATCTTTCTTCTTTTCTTAGGTTCTCTTTATCGCATATCCTCTCTGCTCGCTGGAATAAGGCTTGAATCACAGACCTCTTCTGTTGTGGGTGGTGGTGGGATGAAGCCTGCAGGTACCTATTCGTATGTGTCTTCTTTTTATATACTCCCAGTTCCATGCCCCCATCTGTCTTCCTAGTGACTAACATATCNTTTTGAAAAAATGTTTGACGTTTCGGATGCCATGTTGCAACCTTCTTCAGAAACAAGTTCGAAGTGACGAATTCGTTTTAAAATTTGACAATAAATACATGAAAAGGTAATTAATAACTAATTAGTGTCTAATTGTCAACTAAGTTGTTTTGTCAAATCCGGGTGGAGAAGGCTTCGTTGAGTTCACCAACATCTTCCATGTGCGGCTGAGTTCCCAGCCATCTTCTCTATTCATATTACTCCCATGTCGATGAATCTCTATCGCTTCTTTCGTCAATCTTTGGAAGTAATGTCCATTTCTTGCTAGCACTTTGGTTTTTTCGAACTGTATGCTGTGTCCTCCTTTGTGGCAATACTCTGCGACTGCAGATTGTTGGATCTTCCTTAGTCGGACGTCTCTTTCGTGTTCCTTGATGCGGCACTCGATGTTACGTCCAGTTTGGGCAACGTAATATTTCCCGCAACTGCAAGATAGCCGGTGGTGGGATGAAGCCTGCAGGTACCTATTCGTATGTGTCTTCTTTTTATATACTCCCAGTTCCATGCCCCCATCTGTCTTCCTAGTGACTAACATATCCTGGAATGGCAAATGTTTTGCATTTTCTGTTTCCACGGTAAATTTTATCATGGGGTGCTGTGAATTGAGGTGGTCTAGAAATTCCTGGGGTTGCTTTTTTCCATGTTGCCAGATCACGAAAGTGTCATCGACGTAATGGAGCCATAGCTTCGGTTTCCAAGGACTCGTCTTTAGCGCCTCCTCTTCAAACATCTCCATGTAAAAATTGGCTATCACAGGAGACAGAGGTGATCCCATGGCTGCTCCTTCGCATTGCTCGTAGAATTCCCCCTTCCAGCTGAAATATGTCGACGATAGGCAGTCGACATATTTCATATTTGCCCAAGTATGTCCCACTAGTCCTGGGACATACTTGGGCAAACCCTCCGGGATGAGTTTCTGGCGAAGACCATCTACGGCATCCTTGACTGGTACTCTGGTGAATAGAAATTCCACGTCAAAACTTACCAGCATATCCTGAGGGTCTAGTTTCATACTCCTAATTGATTCTACAAAATGTGTGGAATCTCTGAGATATGACTCTGTTTTACCTGTAAAAGGAGACAGAATCTTGGAAAAGTGGGAGAATTTATGGCACTGACAATAGGGCGTAGTGGGACGTCTGGTTTATGGATCTTGGGTAATCCATATATCCTTGGTGGTACTGGAGCCTGTACGAATAAGCTTTTTTGTTGATCTGCTGGGATTTCTGTGGATTTTACCAGTTCTTTCATCTTCCTTACTATCTTGTCGGTAGGCTCTTGATCTTCTCGTCGTATTCCTTTCTGTCCATAACCACGGTCGCATTCCCCTTGTCCGCTGGTAGGATGATAATGTCTGGTTTTTCCCTCATCGTTCGTAGTGCTCTTCTTTCGTTTATTGTTAAGTTTGATTTTGGTGGCTTTGCTGTTTTAAGCACTCTCGCTATGTCTTGACGAATTTCCTCTGCTTTCACTGCAGGTATTCTGCGAATAGCCGCTTCCACTTGACATATAATTTCTTCTTTGGGAACCCTCTTTGGAGCGACTACATAATTTAAGCCTTTGGCGAGTACTTTTGTTTCCTCCTCTGTTAATGGGACGCTTGATCGGTTGATAACGACTGTTTCAATTAGCAACTCGTTGTTTTTCCTCTTGTGGGTGCGGCGGTCCAACGATTCGAATTTCTTAATCTGCTTATCCCGACATCTTTGGAAATCACGTTCAGCCTTCTCCATGGTTATCCTGTCTACTTTGTCCCAGTCTTCTCTTGCCATGGAGTTGGAAAGTGAGAGGTGGAGTCGTAGTAACCTCTCACTTATTCTCTGCAGATCTTTAAAGGTTTTATGAATTCTTTCTCGTATCAGCGCCTGTTCTGTCGATCCTACGTGCTGCAGCGGTGTCGATATGGTGCTTCACTCTGAGGAATGTTGGCGTTACCCTCTTTTCTTTGCATCTACGTAGAAAAGCCAAGTCACTTAATAGCTTGCGTTGTCTAATCCGTAAGTTATCAAGATCCTTGATTTGTTTGTTAATTAGACACTAATTAGTTATTAATTACCTTTTCATGTATTTATTGTCAAATTTTAAAACGAATTCGTCACTTCGAACTTGTTTATGAAGAAGGTTGCAACATGGCATCCGAAACGTCAAACATTTTTTCAAAAAACGCACGGCTTAACCCGAAAGATTCTAGGTCTAGTGTTAGTTCTTGTGGTAGTGTTAGTTCTAGTTTTAGTTTAATTAATATCGGCCGTGAAAGCCTTCGTACTTATACAATCTAAAGCTTTGTTAACTACTTAAATATAATCATAAAATTGTGCTGTATATTTAATTATTAGTTGTATTAATTAAGTATTACTCCCTCTGTCCCAAATTATGGTATACATTTCTCTTTACAATTTGTCCCAAACTGTTGCACATAATAGAAACAGGTAAACGCCCTTCAATAAGTTTTTTTTATTCTTTATTCATGTACTCAATTTTACAGTTGTTGCTTCCTGATGCCATCATGGTTGACTCCATGCACTTTTGTAGTGTCAAGAATACGTTATCTAATCTTTCTTTAGTTAATGCGTGGAAGGCACTTTCAACACAATCTATTAATTCATCCATAGTTTTTGGCGATGTTTGGTGCTGCAAAGACTGAATAGCATTGAAGAAGCCAAGGTCTAAAACATTCAAATCAGGACTATTCGGTGGCTGTGATTTGAATTAAATACACCATTCATCTCTTGATCCTTTGGCCAACAATTCTGCATAGTTTCCATAAGAATGCGGGTTTGCATTATCTTGTTGAACATACATTGTCTTGACTTTATGCGCTTTTGAGAATTTGGATCTAATCTTTTTGCATTCTGCTTCGTTAATACATTCAATGTTTTTGGTCGGTCACCATTGTTCCTCTTGCTCGGTTCTTGCTGTTTCTTCTTACAGGTTCTTTATAAACAAATATTAATATTAGATTATTAATATTATAAGATATCAAGAAAAATTTTTCGCCTATTAATCATTATTCGTCATGAGGAGTAAATTCCCAAGTTTATGCGTATATGAAGAGAATCACATGTATATTGTAATACACTAGAGGCAATAAATAAATATTATTATTACTGCTTGATTCAAGATGACTAGCAACAAATGATATAGTCATGGTTAATATTCTATATTGTATTGTTACGCACCTACAGGAATAAGACAAGTATGCATAAACTCGTTTACCTGATACGACGAATTTGTACTGAGTAAATTAGAACAAGTATCGATTACTACAGCGAAAGACGCCTGTTCTTCCTGTTTCTCTTGATCTGAATCCGTTCTCACTTCTTTGTCTATGCATATAGACGCAACTTATCCTGCCGTAGCCATGCCAAACTATTTATTTAATTTTAATACATTCAAACTGAGCAGAAATAAGAACGTAATAATAGATGGCTACATCGTAGTTAGTATAGCAGGTGTGTTTTAATTTTGGTTTTTGTGCTTTAATTCCTCTCCTTCTGAGTTGTATTCTCATAACAGAGAACTCGTGATTTCATGTTTATGAGCCTTCTTTTACTTTATTCATCTATAACTCTCGGTTATGTGCCTCTTGAAGTGTGTCTTGAATCGGAGTGTTTGTTATATATTTTATCTTGCCCAGCCATCTAGTTGTTGATCTTCCCCTTGGTCTTCTGTCTTTTACTTTTATCTCCATCTCTTCTGATTATATGCCCAAAATATTGTAGAATACGTCGCAGGCAGATAGTGGACAGTCTGTTTTTGATCTCGAGCGTATAGGAAGATCACTCATATAAGCGTTCTATTTTGTTTGACTTTTGTCCTTTTTGTGATTTGTTGCTCTTTCTATATCTTCGTCAAGGCAACTTTAGCTGTCACTACTTGATTATTTGCCTTCTAATATCTTTTTGCATTTTCCCTGATAATATACGAGTGTGCTTTGGTGTATGAATTCTGTGACTTCTAGTTACTTTACAATATTTTTCTGTATTAGTTTGTTTCCATATACGTTGAACAGTCTTGGTGACAAAATACACTTCTGCCTGACACTGTTTTCTACACTAAATGCACGTAAGACTTATGATTTATATATACAGGGTGTTCATTTCAAAACTTTCCACCTCAATTTCTGTAAATCCGGAAG